CAAATTGGGAAGGACCTTATGTCGTGAAAAAGGCATTCTACGGAGGAGCCCTTGTCCTAGCTGAAATGGACATACCTGAACTGCCACATCCCATCAACTCGGATGTAGTCAAGAAATACTTCGCTTAGGATGAAAACCCGAGAGGGCGTCCTAAGTTGAAAAAACAATGAAAAAGAGAAAAAACATTTAGGGTGAAAACCCGAAAGGGCACCCTAAATTGAAAAAAGAAAAAAGAGAAAAAAAGAACAAAAAAACATAAAAGAAAAATAAGGTGGGTTTAAGATGAAAACCCGCAAAGGGCGTCTTGCAACCAAGGATGGGTCTAGGTTGAAAACCCGAAAGGGCGATTTGGATAATGACAGTGGAAACATCTCGACATCCGAATCTTCTAAAAACTCAACAAGTCGGGGAAAGATTGCACTCTCCAGAACGTTGTCGTGTTTTCGAAGATTCCTTGACAAGGGTTGCATTCAAAGTCACCTGACGGTTTTTTAGCTCAGAAGTGCCAACATTATCGAGATCTAAGACATTCACACACACTTCATCATGTATTCATTTCCAAAATGTTTGTCATGTATTATTTGTTCTTTTTCCCCTTATGAATAAAGACAATCTTTTCTCTGAACCAACTCCTTTGGAGCATCTTGAATTGAATTTAAACATAATGATTTATTTATTTTTGCAAGAGATAATCACATATTACTGTACAAAGATTCATTGAAAAGTACAGGTACCCAAAAGCTGATCAAGACTCAGGCACATACTTAAAATGGTCGAGAAGTATTTCCCAAATCAAGAAACATATAGAATGTGCACATCAGATTTGAACATTTGAAGAATTCAAGATCAGGGATCAGAACTTCAAGATTCTAAAATCAAGAGGCAACAACGACAGGCCACCTGAGATCGAGATTTCTCTCTAGAGCCCAATATAACATATGTTGCATATGCATTTTAGGCATACCTAAGAGCATTGCATCCACAACATCACATATATCCATACCTTTGCAGGTTTTTATCTAGAGCCGATTTCATCCTCACGGCAAAGGATATTCAAGTCAAGGCTCAACTTCATAACGAAGGGGCCATCCGCGATTTTAACTCCATGACGGAGGATATCGTACTCACACATCCACGATTTTAACTCCATGATGGAGGATATAGTGCCATTTGGGGCTTAACTTCACGACGAATGGGCTTCCCAATTTCAGAGCCAATTTCAACTTCACAGTGAATGATATTGGACCCAAGACAACACAAGCTCAACGTCACGATGAAGGGGCAACTGATTGTCAACAAACAACTTTTCAAATTCATTCAGAGTCAATTTCAACTTCACAACGAATGATATTGAACTCGAGACAGCACAAGCTCAACTTCACAGCGAAGGGGCGGCTGACTGTCAACAAACAATTTCTCAGTTCCAGAGCCAATTTCAACTCCAAAACGGAGGATATTAGACTCGGAGCAATACAACTTACTTGGATTTTAACTTCACGACGAAGGGGCCACCCGCGGTTTCAACTTCACGACGAAGGGAATCGTACATGCAAGCAGTATCTATCTCTAGATTGGATTTCAACTTCACGACGAAGGATATCCAAGTCAAAGAAGGAGTGTCTGTTAATAAAACCTTCCAATTTCAGAGTCAATTTCAACTTCACAATGAAGGATATTGGCCTCGAAGCAACGCAACTTACATTGGATTTCAACTTCACGACGAAGGATATTTAATTCCCAGGCTCAACTTCACGACAAAGAGGCCATATACGATTCCAGATTCACAAACAGATTGACCCAACTTCTCGACGAAGGAGTTATATGTGACACATCAACACCAAAGTCTTCAGGTCAAGTTTCACCTTAACGAGGAAGTATCTTGAGCTAGAAGGCGATCCAGGAGTCACTTGCCAAAAGCTTTAAGTTTGATTTAAACTTCACGACGAAGGATATCGTGCTCAGAAGTTTCCAGTTCAACTCGACCTCACGATGAAGGAGTCATTTCATATCTCAGCTCAAATTGAGAAACTTGTCTTAATATGGGATTTCAACTTTACGACAGAGGATATTCGATATAGCCGAAATTTGTGTCTTTTAATCTTTTCTCTATTGTCGTTACACGATAATGAGCAAAGAGGGACAGCTGAAGACACTCAATTTCGACCATATAAATTATAAATTATGATATAATATTATAATGTTATAATTTATAATACACATGGCATTTACATTTATATGTTATTATTTATAATAAATATGTGTATTACATAATATACATATCATATGATTTATTATAAATTATATAACACATTTATTCATGATACATGCCCAACAAAACAATCATCTACACGTCTTCATCCAATAGTGGCCCAATACAGTAGCCCAGGTAGAGGATTAGGGTTTCTCAAAACCCTGGCTCTCCCGAAACCCTGGCTCTCCTCATCTTATGCTTCCAGCCGCCAGTAACAATGACCGTTGGATCTAGGTGAAATCCAAAGGTCCACAGTAAATGTATCAAGGGTCGTCTCCAAACCCTAGTTCCAAGCTCCATCAGCGCCACATTCCACCCACCGTGGACTCCTCGTCACCCACACATCTCACTCCGAACATTTTGCACAACGCAGCAACGGCGTGGGTATCAAAGACTCATCCACAACCACGCAACAATCCCACCATTCTCGGTCTCCAACTGGCGTGCATGTATGGGACACCAACAACCAACAGAGTTAGATTATGACTCAAATTAGTCTAAAAATAGCTTTTTTGTGTATAAATAAGCTCGTAAATCAAACAAGTTGGACACACAAGATCCGAGAGATTACCACGAGGAAAATACATACATAAACTCACAATAGCAAACACAAAAAAAAAGGTTCAAGCACGTGTAGAACATTTCGAAAAAGAGAATAAAAGGTTTATTTTTTACCTATTTTTTGATTCTGTCACGTGCATGTGATCTTCATCCTTGTAGATTCGAAAAAAAAGAGTGTTCGGCCAAGGAAAGGGGGCGTTTTCGAGAACTTCGTTTGTAGATCTAGCCCCCGAGGCTTATTTTTTTTGAAAACGATTAGATTTTTTGGAAGCAGAGTTTGAAAGGCATTCGAAAAAGAAAAAAAAAAATTTGCCGCCGATAAACGGTAGCCGGCGAGGCGGCGCAATGGCCAGTTTCTGAAACCACGGTCGTGTTCTTCATCCCTCAAGAACACGCGAAGAACATACAGAGGATTTAGAAAAAAAATTTTGATTCGTTTTGAACAAAATGGAAATTATGAGAGGTGTTAGTGGCTTTTAGCCTTTATACTTGGCCCGAACCAGGCCCACGTGTAGACCCGAATGGCGCCCTGACCCGCGTGTTTCTGAACAAAATAGGGATAACTCCCATTTGCTCCCTCGTAGTCTTAAAAGTCTTAATTTTTTCCTGTTTCCTGCAATCAAACTTCGAATTCCTTTTAATTTAACCTCGTATTTAAGTTTTATTTCAATTCGGTCCTTCTGCATTTTAACCTTTTTTCTATATTTAAATATTATATTTAATTACAAATATATATATACTTTTTATTTATTTATTTTTAATATATACATTTTATTTTATTTTACTTTTTATTCCCTTTTTATTATTAATATTAGTATATATACACTTTTATTTTTACTATATTCTTTATTATTACTATTATTACTATTATTTTTATATTATTATCGTCTTTTATAATAGTTTGTTCACACGCCAATATATATACATGCCACTTTAATTTTGTTTATCTTTTAATTTATTTATTCTATTTTTTATTACCTCTTTTTTTATCTCTTTTTATTTATTTATTTTTTTCCTTTATTTTTTCCTTTATTTTGTTTTATTTATGTATATTTTTATGTATTTGTTTGTGTCTTTCATTTTCTCCATTCTTATTACATTATCCACTTTTTATCTTACTTTTTATCTTATATTTTTTTTTCAGTTTATATTTGTTTTTCATGCTTTGTTTTTTAAATTCTTATTTATTTTTATCACCTCAAATCTAACATTTTCTTTTTAAGGGTCTTCATTCAAATTTATCAGAGGTAAGTAATTTTGGATCGATATTTTACCTTTTAATTTAAAATTATAATTTTCTTAATTTAAGACAATTGGAAATTGCGTAGTACCGAAAGGGCAGTTCAAGGGTGCTAACCCTTCCTTGACTGTAATCGACTCCCGAATCCGACACATCACTGGTAAGATGCATATCGGGTAAGGAATAAGGTATCCGATCTACCTATTTGTTTTAAAATAAAAGATCGGTGGCGACTCCTAATCCATTCTCCTAAGTCGAAGTCCAATTCCGGGCCCACTCAAAAGACGGTTCCGACACACATCATTTGTAGATGATATCACTTTGTTACATACAATTAAAAAGATCATAATCTAGCCAGCACTACTTTTTTTTAGTCGGCATAACATAGTAACATTACCTCAAGTTAAAAAAAAAGTTTCATGTAATGCAATTATAGAGAATGTTGTTACAAAGAAGATCGCATCATTAGCAGTCACATATAAAAATAATAATAAATGACTAAACATAAAGACTAACAAAAAAATAAAAACAAACTTTTGAATCAATTTCAGATTATCATCTAATATGAAATTAATTAAGAATTTTTAGCTATATTTAACATATCTTCAATTTATGGATTAATCCATATTAATTAAAAATTAGGCCAAGATTGATCAATCAATTTCTAAATTATGAACAAAATCAGAAATAATTAAGAAATTAAATTCAAACTTATTAATCGATTAAAAAAATATGAAACTAGTTAAATTAATCGTGAAAATTATGTCAAATATCAATTAAGGATCAAATTGAACCTAATGAATAATTTTAGCCAAATTAATCAATTAACCTCTAATTAGGACCTAATTGAAACTAAATCATGAAATCAAGGTCAAATTAATTAACCTATTCTGATTCAGGGATCAAATTAAAAGAAATAGAAAATAAATGGTCACTACGGCGAAAAACATGCGAGTTAAGGCTCAAATGAATGTGTTATCTAAACTCCTGGACGAGGCTGTCAAACGAGGGGTTTTCAAGTATCATCCTAGGTGCAAGAAGATTGGCTTGGCTCATCTTTGTTTTACCGATGATTTGCTTATCTTTTCTGAAGGGAACCTTGATTCTTTGTGTGGGATTAAAGGTGTTCTTGAGAAGTTTTATAAGATGTCGGGATTAGGTTGAATGTGATCCCAAGATCGAGATATTCATTTTGGGTGTCTTGGATGGTGTGGTTGGTGATATTCGGGATTTCTTGGGGTTTAAGATTGGTGCATTGTCAGTTCGATATTTAGGCGTCCCTTTGGTCACGAGGCGTCTGTCAGAGAAGGATTGTCATGCTCTCTTGGAAAAAATCCGTGACAAATTAGAGCATTGGGCTAACAAGCGTCTTAGTTACGCTGGTCGGCTTCAATTAATACGTTCGGTCTTGTTCAATGTGACGAACTATTGGTGTAGAAAGCTTGTCCTTCCTAATAGTATGATCCAGAAAGTGGACCAGTTATGTACTCGTTTCTTTTGGAAGGGTTGAGATTTTTCGGCTTCGTGTGCTCGGATTGCTTGGAAAGATATTTGTTCTCTTAAGAGTGAGTGGGGCCTGGGTCTAAAGAGCCTTGATTGTTGGAATAAGTTGTGTGCAGTTCAACTTTTGAGGAAGATCTTGGGGAATGAGGGTTTTCTTTGGGTAGCATGGGCTCCGACGTATGTTATGGGAAGTGTTGATTTTTGGAGCTTTGAAGTTCCTAGCTCTATGAGTTGGGGGTTGAGGAGGATTTTCGCCTTGCGTGGGGAGGTTCATTGCTTCCTTGCAGCGACTCCTCCCTACAGTAAGATTGATCCTAAAGTGATGTGGGAGGAGCTTCGGCCTAAAAGGGATTGTGTGCCTTGGCAAAATTTGATTTGGTTCTCCTTGCATGTGCCGAGACATGTAATCATAGCTTGGCTTGCTGTTTTGGGAGGTTTCCGACTAAAAATAGGCTCATTAGGATGGGATTTGATGTGGATAGTCGATGTGTTCTTTGTTGTAATGCGACTGAGTCGAGGGAGCATCTATTCGTTGAGTATTCCTTTTCGGTGGAGGTGTGGTAAAAGGTCCTTGTGTCTTGCAGGCATCCTTGCCCCGTTGGTTCGTAGGAAGAGGAGATTGTTTGGGCTGTTGCTCGCCTCAAGGTATGTCGTTACTATTATGTTAAAACTAGTTACTTACTATTATGTTAAAGCTAGCTTGGAGTGCTTTGCTATATATGATGTGGACTAAGAGAAATAATAGAATTTTTGCAGGTAAATCTAGAGAATGTACTGTTGTTTTTTATTCCATTAGGGAGGTGGTTTGAATAAAGTTGTATGGGAAGAATATTGAAAGGGCTGATTGTGTGAACGATCGTTTGTGCACGGCTTGAGGAATTTTGGAAGTAGTTGGCTGTGCTGCTAGGTTGTTTGTAACAGCTTTTGATGTTTTCTTTGGATTAATGCATACTGAATTACCAAAAAAACTCAAATGAATTACACACAAAGATAAAGAACTGAAAAGTGAATATACCCATAAATTACTAAAACAAGTGAATTTGAATTCAGTCTAGTTCTGGTGCGCGGATTGAGTATCTCCGGAGGCTAAATAGTTTGTTTCGATGCTGCTACAGGGAACTCCTTTCATTTCTTTTAGTTCTCATTTTTCATTCCCTCTTCGTTTTTATGCTCTCCCAACTCTATCTGAACTACTAAGAACCGACAAGCCTCAAGCCACCGCTCATCCACCGGGCAGTCATCAGCCGCTGTTTAGGGATGTCGTCTGTACTCCAAGTTTTCCGACTTCTTTGTCTCGGTCCCCTGGTTTCGATTCCGGAGATAGTTTCGCCTGAAAACGCTTCAAGCTCCGCAAATCGGCCGAAAACCGGTCGGCTTCCTTCTCACTGGTCGGCTTCCTTCTCACCGGTCGGCTTCCTTCTCGTCGATCTCCCTACTCCGTCTTTGGATCGTGATGGACTTCGAGTATGTTGCAACCCATGTCGTCCTACGCTAGTTGATCTTTCGGATCGATGAAATGAGATGCCGATCGTCGGAGAATGCCCCAAAGTCGAAGGTAAGCTTCATTTTTTTTTTCTCCTTGTCGCACTTTTTCATTTTTTCTTCTAATCTCAGTCCGTTTGTTTTGTTCGAGTTTAGGTCACCATTTGTTGGTTTATAGGTATCGAATGGAAGGTGTTAATGGCTATGGAATAGGAGTTTCTGGTTTTGTTACTGCATGTATATTTGGCGAGAGTTGAGCTATTGAGCAATGGCTTATATGTCCATGGATGATGTTGCCTCGCAGATACGTTAATTTGAAAAAATTATTATATGGATTCAGTTTATGTCGTGCTATGTATTTCTAATCAATTACATTTGTCTATCGGCGAATATTACCTTTTTCATACTTTATAAAGAATTTATTGTTATTTTAAAATTGATAAATTTAATTTACTAATAATCCGTGAACTGGATCTATAAAATAATTTATCGTTAATTCGGGGTTACGTGTTCCGTTTAAGAGCATTGCCGAACAGCCGAAGCTTGATGGTTTTGTTGTGAGAAACCGGCGATAAATTGATGTCAGGTTACGTGTAGCTTCGGAGTTGATTGCATGTGAGAAAGGAGACACGTAGCGTTTCATGCTAATGATCAAACAATATGTGGTCCTATATAAACATGTCTCTTCACCTGAACAATCAAAAACCAGAAAAGATGATGGAGGACAACAGAGAGAAAACATCCAAAAAGGGGGAAGAAACAGAGGGAAAGAAGAAGAAGAAGGAAGATTCTGCAGAAATTGAAAGCACAAGAGGTATGGATCCGATGGCTAAGATGGTGATTAACGAAGCAACTGTTAATCCAGGCCATCCTGCTGATAAGCCCGATGACATCCTCGCTTTCTCTAGATCCCTTCATAACACCGACTCTTCCTTAGAATAATCCTCCTTTTAGGGTTTATCTTCCTAAAGGAATGGCATACTCTTCTCTAGTTTTGTATATTTTTAAAATTATCAATAATATATATCATTTCAAATACAAGTCCAATATTGATTGTTAGTGTATTTTTTCATTTTATTCAATCTTACATTTTAAAGTTTGAATTTAAATTATCTTTCGTGAGTTACAATGTAATTTAAATCTCATCACTTATCTCCAATAATCGCTTAATCTAATGAGATTAAGCACTAGATTCACCAATAACTTAGTAGAATTAAGTATTAAATTCTTTAAGTAAAATTAAATATTTGAATCTTAATATTTGTATATGGAACAAATTGAATAGAGGGTGTTATCCCCTAATTGTTTGCATTTGATCTGATCTAAATTAATAAGTCAATAAATCAGATTAACTATAAAAACCTGAATAACTAAAAAAAACAACCCATCATTTGTGGAATTTGTCTACACTCTATTTTAGGAGTGAGATGTACATTTAATTGTTGATTTTTTCTATTTTTTTTAATTATTTATCTTCATATAACGTTATTCTTAATTTTAGTCATAGTTTTTAATTTTTTTGATAAAGTATTTTTTTATTTATACTTCTAAATTATTTAATAAAATTTCAACATTTTCACTAATTTTAACTTTGGAAATTTTAAATTTTGAATATGGAACTTTTAAGCCGTGTCGCAATCAATCATCAACTATTATTGTTATGTTATTTATAGTATGCTCAATATTAAAATAATTATATTTTATTTATTAAAATAAATTAATAAAGAATACTAAAATGAGTCTGTACGTGTTTAAGTTAATAGCAAAAGTTGTCGAAATTTTTAATGACGACTAAAAACAGATAAAAGGATTCTAACTTTGTTCTAAAAATAAATAAAAGAATTTCAACTTTCAACTTTGATGATGATATAAAATAATTTTTTTAAAATTTATATTAACACCAAATCATCATGTTATTTAAGTATTAATAAATTAATGTATTTGTACAATAATTAAAGTCAAAATTAACTTTAATAGTATAATCTAATCAATTTAAATACAATAATAAACTTATATAAAACTTTAAGATTAAATGATATTTTATGTAGTTTATCTTAAATAAAATATAATAGAATAATATGGATGGAAAATAATGAGATAATTGAAAGGCTAATTTATCCAAACATCACTAAAAAAACACCACCATATATCTAATGTGTACTAAACTAATACCCTTTCTCAAATCAAGATAAGAAAATGTATTTGAGGAAACGTGTCTTGTATACATGGTAAAAAATCGTTTTTTTTAGTAAAACATACTTTTTTAGCATGTGTGTAAGACGTGTTTTTCCTAAACATTTTTATCTCCATTTCATAAAGAGATAATTTAATACATATTAGGAAATAATGTTAGAATGGTGTGTTATTTGAATAAATTCGCCTAATTGAAAAGGACATCAATGAAATTCACTGGCAATGTGCGATGGACGTATATGTCTTGTTCATCAACAATCAATGTGCGATGGACGTATATGTCTTGTTCATCAACAATAAAAGCATGCATAATTATGCATTTAATATCTAAACTATTAGTTTTGTATATTTTAATATTTAGATTTTTAATTTTTTTTAAATTATATTTAACGTTTAGTTTTTATTTTATTTTAATATGCATCATTAAAAATTTAATGTATTTAGTACATAAACTAACAATTTTTGTTCTTTTTAATACTTTAATTTTCAATCTTTTTAAACTTTAACGACAACTCTAAACGGGATACTAAAATGAAACAAAAACTTAAGTTTTTAACGATGGAGTATTAAAATTAAATTAAAACTAAACTTTATTGAAAAAATTGAAAATTTAAGTATTAAAACATATCAAAATTAATAGTTTAAGTATTAAATGCATAGTTTACCCTAAAAACAAAGAAAAAATAATTTTCATTTTCTATTTTTTGCTTTAACTGCCCCTTTTAAAATACAAAATACAGCATCTTTCTGCTGGCCGCCTACCCTGTTTGCCCACTTTATCAATACAATATTAGAATAATAAATGACATTTTTCAATATTTTGTTAATTAATATATAACAATATTGTAGATTACTGTCGTTATCACACAGTATTTACTTGATAAAATCATAATCCAATTTTGGGAATGATTTTGACTTTTATTTGCTTCACATTGGTTTATTAAATGCCGAAATTTGACTTTGATTAATCAAAATGGCCGATTTTTATTAAGAGTTTATTCGGTACGGTTCAGTTTTGTTTTTCACTAAAATATAAATGAATAATTCTTTGTCGTTTTTAAAAATGGGAATCAGAATCGAAATCATAACCGAATGGTATAAAAACCATGATTTTCGGTATGGGTCGACAGTTTTTTGTTCACTAATTTTCAAACTCAACCTAAAAAAATAAATTTAAAGCTTAAATCGAGTGTAAATATATCAATTTAAATTTATAAAAAATATTATTATTTTAATATTTTATTTATTTAAATTTATCTTATAATAAATTCAAAATGAATGTGTTTTCGATACTTATTTTTTTATTTTTTTATTCAGTTTAATTCGGTTCAAACGGTTTTCATATGAAAAATCAAAATCGAACCGAATTGGATATTTATTTTTTAAATCAAGCTGTAAATTGAAAAAATCGAACCGAACCGAAGTCTAATTCAAATAGATTTTTCGATTTTCTCGATTTCGTTGCTTAATCTTATTTTCTATAAAAAAAAAATCATAGTAAGTGTTCTTTTATGGATTTGGTTCTCCTATTATTTTTAATTTTGAGGTTATTTTCTCACTCTTTTGTCAAATAATTTGACATTTATGCACAGTTAAACATTCTTTTTTTTTTGCATAAAGATAAAAATGTATGGTATTTGTCATTAAATATTTTTTAAAGGACTTAAAATAAACATTTTGAAAAGAAAAAAAAAGGAATTAGGCTTTATATTTTGATTATTGTGGAGCACCTAATGCTATTCCCCAACTGAATGGCATTGAGATTTCATATGGCAGAGGCCACCACAAGGATGGTGTCACCTCAGTATAAATTATGATTTTGCATCAACTACGGATATCCACACTATAGTTCTGAATATATGCATCTTCAAACTGATAATGTGCAAATTGTACAATTGATAAAAAATTCTAAAGACGGAAAATAACTCTATTTAGTTGATTTAGGCAATATTCAAATTGCCAAAAAAAAAATTAGATAATGAAAATATAATAAATTCATCGAGAAGATAATATGATAGCCGATGAGACGATTGATGAATCTTTAACCCTTTTTATTTTTTTTGTTGTAATTTAGTTTTAAGGTTTGTTCTGATTAATCTGGATCGATTCAGATCGTACGTTTAGTTTTGGTGGATGAGTCTCTCAACGAGGATTTTCTCTATACACAAGAATTTAGATCTAAAACTTAAGTGATATCAAACTAATTATCACTTAAATTAACTCTTTAACCCTTTCGGATAATCATCTATTGAATTGTTATAAAATGATATAAAATTTAATTGATAAAAGTATTTTTGATTCTTATTCTTGTACAACTATTATTTCCTAATTCTATGGCATAGTCCTCCCTACCTTGACTAAAAAATAACTGAAGGAAAATTTCACTACAAACCCCGCTAGGAGAGAGAGAGAGAGAGAGAGAGAGAAATCAATGCTTTGTACGGACAAATTCAGATCCGCTGGTTGATTGAGAGCTTCGGTTGCTTTTAAATTTCAATGCACTGAAGAATTCATAAGAAGAAATGAAAACGAAGCGCGTGGTTTTTGGAATGAGCCAATGAATTTTCAATGTTTTCCAGCGTGTAGTAAATGGAGTCAGAAGCGGCGGCGTCGACGGATGAACAACTAGCGGCTGCCGGAACAGCAACCGATACCAGAGGCAGACATCGGATTCTTGCTGAACTCAAGCGAGTCGAACAAAAATCCAAGTTCCTCGAGGTTAGTTGCTTTTCGTGTATCTATTTTCTTCAGCTATGATTTTTTCTATATCCTTTGAAAATGTCCTCCCAAAACTTGACTTACTTTGAGTTTTAAAGTTTTTGAATCTTCCGTAAATAATGTTGTAGAATATATCAGGAAAAGGAAGAGCAATTCCTTTTGCGAACTTTCTCATAAGCTTTTTTCTTAAAGATAAAAATAAAAATAATAATTATAATTATAATTATAATTCCCGTATGTGAAGTTAGATTATTTGGATTATGCATTTTGTTGGCTAAGTGATGGACGGTGGTGGCTTAGTGCAACGATTCAAAACATATCTTAGAATTTGGTGGTTAATATATCATTTTTGGATGTTATACTGAAAAACTGAAAATGTTATCTTGCAAAACTGTAATCGTTGTGCTTGCACAAATCGGCCAAGACTGTTCCGTTCATCTATGAACCAGGTAAATTTGAATTTTTTAAAATTTTCTGGTCACGTTGGTTTTGGGTTCATTCCAAATTCGAATCATTTTGAATTTAGATCATTTTGGGTTTAATATATCATTTGGATTTGAGGTTTGGGTTTCTCCAATCAGATGATTACTTGGTTCGGGTTCATGTTATTTTGGATTTGGGTTGGATTAGATTAATTTTTCGTGGTCAAATCAAATGTTTGGGTTACTTTGGATCCGGATTGGATAAGATTGAGTTAATTTTTCGAAGTCGAATCAAATAGGATTATGTTTAAGGAGTCTCTATAAGGTGGCAAAATAAGTTCCAGATCAAGCTTGTTATGCCTGCTCTCTATAGGGAAAGTGCTAAACTTTCTTTGTTTCACTTCATTCCAAAAGATAACAATTAATCAATTAGTTATCGATTTTCGAGCGTTGTGGTGCTAGTCCTTCCTCATGCATAATTGACTCCTGAACTTATTTTTTTGTATGTGAACCTAAAAATTGTTTTAGTGATTTTTAAAATTAAATTTTATCAAAGTAACAAGATCTTTTAGTGATCCAATCACATTCTAAACGAAGGTTTGAATTAGTCTTTTCGGCACCGTAAACACCATAAGCAGAATGGTCTTCAATCTTTGATGCTTCCCATATGGTCATTATGAAGAAGCATGACAACATCTAGTGCTTGTTAGTGCTTGTGGAATCTCTATCATGCCAAAGTGCTTTTTGAATCAATTTTAACTTGTAGCTCTTGCTATGCCTTCACTTCGATTGGTCAGGTCATGCTTCCCATGAATTTCATAAAGGAATAAAAAGCTTTTAGCAGTGTTGTTTGCACTTGCACCATATAACAACTCCATGGTGGCTGCTATTTGGCTATTTTTCATTTTCTTACATTATCCATCAGCCTTCCATAGAAAAGAGATTTCCCATATACATTCTATGATATTTATAATGGCCCTTTTGTTTATAGGTTTGTATGGTATTTAAACGATGTGTACCAAGAACTCCATAAACTTCTATCCAATGAGCATGTTAGTGGCGTTATAGGTCATTGATTCACACACTTGGTATTTTCCGTCCCGTTTTTGTCTATCTTCACTGCTTGCAGATGATAGATTTGCGGTTTCTGTATCATTGTAAGTTGTTTTGCTTCAAGCAATAAATTCCAGAAGTCACTATTGCGCTGAATTGTAGTGCATTACAGCGTCGTATGTCTTATTATTTTCTCTCTTGGTGTATCTTTTTGTCCAGGAAGAGATGGAAGTGCTTGAGGAAACAGATAATGTGTCAACCTTGTGTGAGGAGTAAGTTTAAGAACTAAAACTTTTCTTTCGTATGAAGTTGCAAACCTAGAAATGAGTTTTCGGATTCCAAATGATCATCGTTTATTAATATATTTGCGTGTTCTCCCCCATCAGATTGCTACGGAGCATTGAGACCAGACCTGATCCACTACTTCCATTGTAACTACGATAACCCGTATCTTCGATCGAGTTGCTTGTATTCTGTTTTTAAGCTCTAACGGTTGGATTTGTTGTTTATTACAGAACAAATGGTCCCATAAACCGATCATGGGATATATGGTTTGAAGGGCCTCAAGATCCTGAAGGTTGCAACTGCCAGATTCTGTGATTTGAAGGCAATCTAACACCCTTGTTTGTTGCCAAGATATGTTGTTTACAGAACATATATCATATTTACGTCTCTCAATTGTTAACAATTTATTCAATTGACTCTTCTCCACATTGTGCATTTTGGGATGGCTGAAAATTCTAAGGTAAAAATTTACTTAGTTTTTTCAATATAAACCGAATTAGCCGAACCGATTTATTGAATAAAATAATAAGAATTGGATATGGTATTTCTACAGTCAAATCACCTTCATAACAAGCCTTGAAATCCTGCCATTGGCTCTAAAGCTTCAACATTGAAAACCCCAATTCCTCCATTTACTTTACATGTTATATACACCTGAAAAGCTATATAACTAGGAACGTTAAAGTGTTGCCTGCAAGAGAAGAGACTCGGTAGCCATAGCCGGTGGCTAACAGACCTTAGCCACCTCGAAAACTGTCATTGGTTGAGTTATATACAGGCCAAGTTAAAGGACCTGTAACATACAATGCCTCCACCGTTGACTTGTAAGCACGAAGCTCTAGTTCATGAATATCGACAACTTTTTCAACAGGGGACGAGGTTTAGTGACAGGGTATGACAGTGATGAACGTTGCTCGAAGTCGAGCAACCAAGCCTAGAGGTTTAGACTCAATCAAAGAACGAGATGGAAGAAGAATAGGGTTTTGTCGTAAAGTTAGGGTTTTGAAAATCAAACAAGAAGATGATGATTAAAAATATAATGGATAATATATAATGAATATATAAAAGAATTATAAAAAAGATAAATAAACGATGAAAGAACTTGAATTGAAAAATTCTCCCTAATATGTATAAGCTTTGGAGATAAGATAGATGTGGTGATGTGGTTGTTGTGGGTGATGATAATGATGAAGAATAAATGTTCTATGAACTAATCACAATTGACTAGGTAAACTAAATAATCAGCTCTAATAATCCCTCCTAATCGCAATGAGAAGACAAATCGAAGTGTGAAGATCTTCCTCACGAAGAACTTGAAAGAATTTAATGATGAAGAATGCTTCAAAGGCACAAGGTAATCAACACTTGCAAAAACGAGCTCTAATTGTATTATTAATCAAAGAAATCTATTTTACAAAGTTGAATGAAGCCTCCTTTATATAGGAAAGGAGTTCTAAAAATCTTAAATAACTAATGAATAAAATAATAATAAACTAAATATGTTCTAATTATAATTTCTAATAAAATAATATTAAACTAATAATAATATTTTAGCTCCATCTTAATTCCTAATAAAATAAATAAATATAACTCTAAAAGATAATGCATCATCTTATCTTTAATTAAACTATAAATAATAAAAAAATATCATAAATTCGTAACATTTACAAAATCATGTATTATTCTCGTATAGGAATTTCAGCATGTGTTGTCTTCACTAAAATTGACGTATATTGAGTTCCCGATATCATATTGATGCAATTCAAGAACCGTTGGAAAGCCAAGAAATAACTGGTCGTAACTCTAGAAGACATGTTGACCGAATAACACTTGGATCCCATTTAAAAAGTCATTGTAAGTCCATTGATATTTTGATCTTCTTTCCAAGGCTTGGACTTGTGGATCAATTGGAAGAGTTAGTCCATCTTTCTTTGATGTGAGCCTTATGGTGCATGTATCATCCCCCGCTCTTCAAAAAGATTCGACCTCGAATCTAAAACATCAAAGGGAGAAACATTAGAACCTTTTAAGAATTCACTTACATTATACTTACCGAGTAGATATGCTTTGAATCTTCAAGGCTTTATTCTTCTAATATGTTCAAGTAGAAACTTAAGTCCAAAGAAGTGTGTATTATCGTTATGGACTCTGGTGCGTGTATCATTCCCCATCTCATCAAAATGATTCATCCACGAATCTAAAAATCCAAGAGAAAGAGAATTAGATGTGTTAAAAAGAAAGCTTGTAAAACACTTATCCGTATTAATGTGACGTGTCTTTATGCTCTTTAGTATAGGCTTTTTCCTTGTTGGAACTTATTTCTTGTTGTCTTGAAATCCTCTTTTGCACACAAATCTTGTAATCTAATGTGTTGGTTGGAATTCAATATGGCGTCAGCCATTGCTGGCTTTGTTTGTGATTGATTCATATATTCTCTCCATGGTTTTACTCGTGTATGGCGAGGAGTGTTTCAAAACCATGTGAAGTAATTCGTTAAAATAATACATGAAGTCTCTTAAGTGTGGTTAAAAACTTAATCTTTTTAACCACTTAAGAATTTATGGTTAGTATGGATGACAACTTCAAGATCCTTACCTTGTAAAAAGGAGAATTATGTTATAATATCATTAAAATGAGTAACAACATACTTACCTTTGGACTGTTGTAAATCGTGATTCATCACTGATATGGTACAATGCTTAAGGCTCTCTAGTGGTAACCCATCAGGAGGGCCAACTAACACCATTCGACAACTCTGTAAAAGAGGAATAAAGGTACTAGGCAAGCTAGTGTTATTGTTAGAAATTAATGAACCTATATTTTGATATAACAAATAAGGGCAAAACGTTTTTGGACTAAATTAAATTTGCTTAAATAATTCAAAGTCCAAATTAATTTTAAAAATACGTGCTAGATGTTTTTTTAAACTTTTTCAAACTTTTAAACATTGTTATAAAGTTCAGAACTCTTGAAATTTGACAAAAACCCTAGCCGGTCTCGAGATTGATATTCTAGAAGAATTTTCTAGTATCAATACCATGGTGTTGGTATCGATATTCCTTCAAATAGTATTGATATCGATGCCTCAACGACTATAATTTTGAATGTTTTTCATGCTCCGTCTCAATACCAACTTCCCGGTATCAATATCAAAGTTACAGGTGAGCATTTAATGCTCAAAATTAAGGGTTCTAACATCTTCAAAACATCCCCAATGGTTAGAAACGACTAAAAACTCATTCCAACATATAAAAATAAGTTGAGGACACTTGAAGAAGGTTACAACACCTTTCCAAACAATCCACATCAAGAGAAAAGCTCTTTCAATCTTATTTTTCCATTTCTTTTGTACATAAAGTGTTTTAGTGAGCTAAATTGTATAACTACATTCCTTTGAGAGGTTTCTTGTTTACAATCTTTTATCCTTATTGAACAGTGGTTTCAGTTCTATCTTAGCCATTGTAAAAGATAGGAAATTTGTGAAGGTTACTCTTGAGCCTAGAAAAAGAAAGAACAAATTAGTGAATTTATTAAAAGTCCTTAGTGGGGAGCTAATGTAGTGGATGTAGACTTCATTAAGGAAGTTGAACCACTCTAAAACATTGAGCAAATTGTCCTATCCTTTCTCCTAAATTCCTAAAATTTTAAAAAGGTCAATTCGCCCCCTCTTGGCAACATTTTTGGTTGATCAATTGAGCTTCAAATCCCAATAATTGGTATCAGAAAGGGTCACGATCTATGATTTAAAAACCTTGTGAAGATCCTAAAAGAGCTCTATCAATTTTTAACTCAACTGAAAAGATGACTTTTTCCTCTAGTGCTTACTACATCGAAGATTCTCAACCGATCAACAAGTCACCCTATTTTAATGGAGAAAATTATTTTTAGAGTATGCCCAAAGACTAATCATATGATGATTGTAATAATACTTTTATTTACCGATTTTATTGAATAAAGGCATTGCCGCTATTATTTTCAGTTATATATATATGTGTTTAACATAAACTAGAAGATAATAAAGTCCATATAATGACATAATTGTTATTATTAAAAGATCCATAGTCAAGTATTATTATGGGCATGGACAATAATAATACGCTCAAGACTAACATGTTATTGATTGATGACAACGAGTTGTCATTGACATAGAGATGTCAGAATTAATACATGATTATATTGTTAGAGAACAATGTATTGGATTGACCCACCATGAGCATATGTCTTGGATTATTATGTGACAGTCATAACATTACTCATGGTGATGGCTATATGTATGATCCTCGTACTTGAGATCAATACTATCCCAACATATATTGTTGTATGTTTTGATGCAGCTAAACAAGCTCCGTAGCTGGTTGCTCTATAAAGACTGTTATTGAATATATCTCAATATATGTAGTGGGTGTGTATGATTAAGATATGATATGTCCTTCCTACATAATAGGAAATATATCATAGGCCACTTGATTGAGTAAGACTAGAAACGCATGGCCATGCTCGAATAAGTTGATATGAGATATCATAAACTATTCGATAATTAAAGTCTACTCTAGAAATCAAGAAACAATAGATGGGCTATACAAGTGTGACTATTCCAAGACTTGTGCCTATTCTAGATATAAAGGACATAAGGATATAATACATAAAAGAGTTAATCACCAAGATGATATATCGAATCATATTTTCTTGTAACTTAGGTGACAATGATATATTGCTAGATGTCACTCATTGTATGTAATATTAGAATTGTTCTAATAATTACTTCTAATGTTACAAGAACCTAAAGGGTCACACCCTAAGATTGAAACGAGCAAAAATGTACAATTTGTTGTACGTTACTAAAATATATCTAGAGTTATTAAGTATATATATTTTAATAATCCCGAATATTTAATTTCAATTAATTAAATATAGATTTAATTAATTTGAAATAATAAAATCTCTGATATGATTAGGGTAACTCGGATATAAAAGGATTATTAAATTCTAATTAATTAAATATAGATTTAATTAATTTGAAATAATAAAAACCCTAATATGACTAGGGTAACTTGGCTATAAAAGGGTGTGTTAGGTCTAGCAGCCGTTTTGGGGAGAACAAACACAAAACCTTCAGCCACTTTCTCTTAAAACTATTTTGGGGGAAAACAAAATTGCTCTCAATCGGGTGAATTGAGTAGAGGTCGAGACGTGATTTCTTGGAGGCTTACGATTCGAACCGATCTACACCACCAGAATTCACTGCATTCCTTGCTGTTTTTCAAGGAACCCGCTGTAAGTATTCGCATCTCTTCCTCCCGATTTCAGTTTTTCGTACTTGGATCGCTGGTGAGACCGTCGAGTTTTGTTTCCGCTGTGCCATGGGGTGCGCCGACGGTCCTAACAATTATATATATTGGAATAATAAGATGATGCTCTTCATTCAAGCCATCGAT